AAATGAGTTTCACCTACAAGTCCAAAGATTTTGGAAACAAATGTCCATATTCATTTTCACACATTCTGTGAGCCATCTGGAAATTTTACTTTCCTGAGCTGTATGCTGTTCTCTGTATCCACCTTAAAAGAATCTCCAGCTCTTTGTAGTCTGGGTTTTTGCTTTAGTGTAGGTCTGCACTCTGTAAATGCCCAAAGCCCCCTGCAGTCACTGTGCTCCAATCGTTCCTGATGGCCAGCAGGCTTGCACAAGTGAGCCTTGTCCTTGAATAGGTGGCTTGTCGTGGGTGCAGACAGAAAGAGCTGTGCCACCACAGCCAGGATATTCCTGGCTCCTTGGGATTTGGCAAGCACGATGCTGTCTGTGAGGCTCCAGACTGTTCTCACCTCTACCTGCCCAGCCACTGATCCAGACTTTCAACCTCCCACAGCACTTCGACTTTTCTTCCCCCTCAAGCTGCTTTTGGAGTGAGGAGTCCCAGAAAGCTCAGCTGGGATATACAAAAATATTTAAGGAGGTGGGAAAGTCTGTTTCTTCATTTAGTATTTCTTTAGTGATAACATGGGGCAAAACAACCCAACACCTCTGAAAACAGGGCTACCTAGCATTCATCTAGGGCTACCTAGCATTCAGCAGGCAAAGCTAAGAGGATCCAACAGTGCAGTTAACATCAAGGGATGCCGTTTGTTTTGCTGTGGTGAAGAAGTAACAACATGGGGATGCCATTGGGAACAATGGCAATTACACAGCAAGCCACTTTAGCATTGCTCTATCATTACAGCATGATAATATGCAATCAAAACGTTATTAGCAATCATCAGCAGCATCTATTATTTATTGCTTAGATCAAGCTAAGAAAGGGAAGGCTGCACACTTACCGTAAGTAACAGGACTCTGAGCCAGTCTAAGCACAGGGTTGGAAGGTAATTCCATGGTCATATAGTGCTGAGTCACCATTGCATAACCTCCAGCAATATTACCATCTCAGTTGTTCCATGTATAAAATTGAATAATAATAATAATCTATATTTCCAATATTATTAGGAATAATTAACTCAGATAAGTATTATCATTAATTTCATAGTGGTTACTAATTCAAATTAAATTATTTCATCGTAAAATTTAATATTTATATCTAAAGTTGCAGGCAATCAACAGATGCAAGCAGTTACCTGAGGTTGTAAAATATGTGCACCTACGTATTTGTGCACAAATGGGTCCATAAAGGATATGGAAACATACATTCAACCTAAATGGTCAGTTGGTTTCAGCTCCTTCATACTGTAACTATGCTGGATAAATATGTGTGAACTCTGACATGAACAGCTCTAGTATGTAAAGTATCTTCTATGTATGCACAACTTGTTGCAATAATTTTAGTATTTGAATTCTCAGTTTTTTCATTATGCTAATGAGCTCTAACATGACAACCAACCTGTGTTCCCAATATGTACCACACTTTGGAAACTCTACAAGTAGGCCTGAAAACAACCCTCTGTTCCTTCTCAAAAAGTTATTTTAGTTTGTATTCAAGAGGTAACTAAAGTTATCTCTATTTATTTCCCTACCTAATTTTGAGTAAAATAATTATACAATTTACACCTTGACAATTACTTAATAAGGAAATTAGGAGAGCATCAGAAATAGCTGACTAAAGAAGCACAGTCTGGTATTTTTTAACTGCATACTTCCATCAGGATTTTGTCTCCACCTCTTCAGTGCAACCAGACATGGCTGTTACGAGTAAAAACCTTGTTAAGAATTCCATTACACAGCACTATTTTTCCTATTTATTCAACAATAAAATAATTCTAAGGTAATTGAAATTTAGGTCTCCCAAGCCTGTAACCTGACTTATGTGGGCAGACATAAGTTACCTACACAAATTGACAATGCTCTGCAGAGGTACGAAAATGCATCATCAAGATCCACCCACACATCTTTTTCACATAGAGTTCCCCCACCTAGACATGTACCTCTGACTGGTGCTTTTCACCACCATTTGCATCACTCTTAAAACTGACTGTAGCTCCAAGGTCAGTAAGAACAAAGAAGGATCACTAGACCATCTTTTCTCATTCTTTGTTCCACTAAACAAGGGGAAAAAATTCTTTTGAGTGATGGGAGAAAAGGAAAGAGATGAAGTGGAAATATGTTTTAGAAGATGAAAGACGCAGTTTCAAGGAACAAAGTAACTGATAAACACCAAGGTAGGTTAATATTAACTGACCAGAAAGAGAAATTGGGATATTAACATTAAAAAAATACCCTAATCAGAATTAATCAGTTTATAAAACTAGTTTATTTTCACTCAGTGACTAAGCCACATAATGACTTAGACGATAGGATTTCTGGTATTATCTAGCCAGGCAAGATAGGAACAAAAACATTGGGCCAATTCAGGAAAAACTGGAGAGGGTCTGTTACCACTAGGGCACAGAAACAGATTAATTGCATTTCTTTGCTAACAAAAAAAACCCTTGTATCATTTTTCACACCTGTTTTACATCATATTCGTTTGATACAAGTAAGAAGAAAGTAAAAGGGAATTAAACAAAAAAGGTGAAAATATATGCACTATTCATTCTGGGCAGGCTGCCAACGTGAATACACCGCAGCTCCACCAGCAAATGTGGGTGAAAACTGGTGAAGCTCCAACCATTTTACACAGGCAGAAACACACAAGTCCCTTGGCTGTAAAGGGACTTCAGCTTCTTTCATTTATTTAGTACAAATAGCGAGTTACATCTCGACAGAGAGGGCACTATTTGATACTTTTGCAATAGCTGGTCTGTTTTGCACTTGTCTAGATCCAAGCACTTAGTAACTCTTCCAGTTTGACAACTGTGTGTGTCTTCCGCATCACAGAGGGCAGAGGTGGAGGAAGGAGGTGAGCCCAGAACATATCCAGGCATGGATCAGTAATAACCCCTGGCCCAAGTGCTCATCTTAAGCACTCACTTCTTTTGGAAAGACCATCTAGTTCCACCACCACTGCCGTGGGCAGGGAGACTTCCACTAGAGCAGGTGACTCAGAACCCATCCAGCCTGTCTGGTCAACAAGCCCCAGTCTCCATCCCCACCCCTGGCTCAGCAGGTTCTGGCATCATCACATCAAGGAGTGAGCTCCCAGGGGCTCTCTTGACAAAGTGGACAGCCAAGGCACCCTGATGCCCATACCCTGGGGCTGTGCCCTGTGAAATTGTAAGACATACGAGAGTCCCCCAAGGCCCCATCCCTGCTGCATTAAAGTGGAGCAATGGGCACCCAGCACATCCCCAAAGCCTGACACCACTGAGAGCCCTGGGGACATCTGTGCCCAGCCCTTGGAGCAGGACCTGACCTGTGCCAGTACCAAAGCATCTGGTACATCTGTTTCTTGTAAGTAAAAAGGCACGATTTCCAGATGATGCACGCTAGTATCAATTTTATTTGAATGCAGTTCACACCAGTTCTTTACACCAGCTGTCAGCAAGGTCTGGATGACCTTGTTTTAAGTGTTTATGTTCTCCAAAGAAAGAAACATTATCTGAAGCCTGGTTTATGTTTATTTTAAAAGACCAAAGAGTTTATTTTGAAGAATCCAACTGAAAATGCTTAAAAGACTATGATAGATACTCTGAAGTATGAATTGGAAAACTTGAAATATATTGCATATGTTGTATGGGCCACTGACAAATTACAGGAAAGCAGTGTGTGCTTACGCAGTTGGGAGTATCCAAACTGTCATTTGGTTGTCTTATTTGCACAAGATGTTGGACAAAAATTAAAACAGAAACAAATGTGCAATAAATTTTGTGTCTTGTAAGTTTAAAGGATAGCTACAAATGAACTGTCATAGCCCTAAAAAGGACACTCTTGAGCCAATGCTAAGCAGTCTCCATTTGATCTTACTCTCTCCTGAATACCTCCTTCTTATGAGTAGAAATTTCTAGAAATACCCTTATTCTGCATGGACCACTGGCCCTGGCCAGACTGGCCACTATTCAGACACTACTGCAGAAGCACTGTCACTGAAAAAACCCACACAGTTCAAAATAAGTAACAAGCCTGTTTTGCAGCATGTCCTGGAAACAGACTTTTCCCGCTCCCTATTCCCTTATCCAGTCCTTTTCTTGGATTATCTCTGTAAAGGTCCTTACACCCACAGCTGAAGGCCTAGTCCCCATAAAAGCTCTTGGGACAGCATGAAGTTTGTAAGTACCTAAGCCATGAGATTTTAGAAAAACTATTTGTTTCTAGACCCAAATCTTATGAGCTACATTTGAGTTTAACTCTGCTGTCATTTATTACTACTGCTAGAGCTAACCAGCAAAAGTAGTAGGGCAAATACTGGTGCAGTATCACATTTATTGATAATAGTGAAATACTTCAGCTTTTCAAATGCACATGATAGGTCTAGCAAAAATTTGTTGTGGAAAATTTCATGCAATTTGTGCACACACAGGCAACAAGCATATTGGTATCAATTCACAAGTGTTATGGGAATGAGAATCAGTTTAGAAATTTATTTGGATTAGTATTTATTCCCAGTTGTCATAAAACACAATATAACCTACATTGCCGGTATACTTCATCCAGACAATCCTAACTACTTTCAAAGCAGGGTTATTTACTAACCTCAGTACATTACTCAAGCAGCAAGAATTCCCAAAGGACACATCCCAACACAGTAAGCATTTCAAACTTTTTTCTAAGTTTGATACAGAATTTCTAGGAAAAGGAAAAACATGGCAACTTGCAAAGTAGCATCAAGATGTTACCATATATTCTCCATCATTCTTTGCTTCTACTGTTAAAACTCATTACAAACTCTAACTCAACAACAGGAAATGCATTCAAGGAAGAGAAGGAGTAGGAGCTGATAACAATCTGGATAATCTTACTACAGTAGCATCAGTCAGCTACCAACACAACCCAGGAGCAGTCTGGAAAAGGAAGGGATGGATCTATTTCAAGAACAGCAGGAGGGAAGGCTATAGAAAAAGCAGAGGACTTACCTCCACAAAGAGCTCTCCAGAACTTTCCCCATGTCAGTATGATAATACTTGGTAAGGATCAGGATCACCTAAAAGAAAATGAGAATAAATAGATTTAAATATGTAAACTGATATAAGAAACAGAAATGGGCAGCATGATTTTGGGAAAAATAAAAGTGAGGCTTCTAAAAATCTGAACATAATTTCACCTCATTTTTAATTCTTAAGAGTTTTGCTTTTTAGCCTGGCTTTTTCATTTCTCTTTCTGGGAAGAGTGATTTCAGCACTTGAAGTTTTCTGTAAACCTGGTGACTGTGAAATATTGCCCATTTCACATAAGCAGTGGAGTTGGAATTGTCACATAAATACTACCACAACATGACATTCTTCAAGCAATCTTTATGACTTTCTGATTAGGAAAAACCAGCCTAGTGGCTAGTTTAAATTTAGGAGGCAACTATACAGACACAATTATTTTTTTAATCCAAAGTGTTAAACAATGGTGATTAACTTTGATTACCCAGATTAAAAAACAGAGGAAAAAAGAGCTCTGGCCTTCCTTACAAAAGGAACAATGCAACTTTCATAGCTATCACTTTTCATTTCTTGAAGAATCACTTTTTCCCCTTCATGAACCAGCTCTGTGCTCAGTAAATTACTCATCTACATTAGTAACAGCCAACAGAATATACAAGAAGATTTTATCCACAAAACATCTTCATCCTATGAAAAGAGTCAGTGAGAACTATTTTCCATCTGCTCAACATGTGACAAATTCACTGGTCAAATAATGTAAAGCACTAGTCCACAACCAGAGTATCAAGCTCAATACTATGTTTGGATCTTTTACAGGTTTCTTCCTCTTGCTGCCAGTCCATATTAGTGGCTCTTAGAGCCAATGCCCATGGCAACCCCAGAGGGGCAGAACAGGCTGGTCTCCTGCACAGCTGGAGGCTTTCTTTAATGTGGGGTCAACCCCAGTCTCCACCAGTTTGGGGCAAGCTGTTATTTAACTGGCACTGCTCTGCAGTGAAATCTACAGCAAACAGCAACTGTAGGTACTTGCTTTGAGAATTCAGATAATTAAATATGCCAATAATACATTTATACTGCACTCTTTGTATGCTGGAGATTGTGAGAAAACAGAATTATAGACTGATGTTATCACATGGAAATAATGCAGTGTTTTACAGAACCGAGGTATAATACCAGTCTCACTCAGGGTTAGATAAACCTAATAAACTCACAACACATATTCCTTGATGTATATTGATATACGCAAAAGTGGAAACAATCCATAATTCACAAGAATTTTTCACTCCTATTCTCAAAAGAGTCACAATCTACCAGATCACTTTTTTCGAATTTGATTATTTATAAAAATAAAAGTTTGGCTTAAAAAAATAATAGGTTACTACAAGACTTACAACGCAAAGAGAAAGAACCATTTCCCAAAGGAAAGTGTATCTGTGGATGAGATTCCTGGCTACAGTCCAAGCACGTTCTACCAGGTCAGCTATTTATTGTATCGTCAATGTCTTAACTGCAGCTTTTTCTGGTGCTTGCAGTTAAGAAGAAAAAGAAAGTAACTTCACTATTGGGAGCATCTATTGGCTCCAATTATTAAGGAAAAAGTTTCAGACTGTGCCTTTCCAAACAAGTATAATCCCTCTTAAGTCACAAAAACTGATCTGGAATTTATTATTTTAAGAGATACAAGAATGTGTACTTGGTACGTTAAATTTAAAAAAAAAAAAAGAAAAAAACCTAAAAATACAAGAGATCATACTTTCTTTCCTTCCATTTTTGCAGAAATGGAGGCTGAATCCTGACTTGGTGAACCAACTTTCTTTATCCCTGTACCTCCCAGAATTAGAAATTTGAAAATCCAGATAATTTTCAGCAACATGTGTTGGAGCTATCCTGCCACAGTTCCTGCCCAATATTTCATTCCTGAATTAAACAGATTAAAACCACACACAGAAAATCCTGTTGGGTTGCCCTCAGTCTACCTGCTTTGAGCATAACCTATATGGATGCTCCAACAAAAAACCTTCCAGAAAGGCCATTTCTGTAACTCAGCACCTGTCAGGAGTGTTAAAGACTGCCAGGCTCATGGTACTGCTGGCTAGCTGCAGTTCATCTGGGCATGCACACACCCAGCCAGAAAGCCACTGCTGTTCCACACACTTCAACTGACTGGCTTTCAGGTAACTGCAAACTGCAGTGGGGAGCAGCCATAGGCAGTAAAACATCATCTTGATGCTGCAGGACTGGTGCTTTAAACTGAGCCAGAGATCTGAAAAATAGATGTCAGTACTTCCCAATCTGAGTGGTAAATTCTTGTAAAAATTTAAATAGCTTATTTTGCACTTTGGAAGTGGAGAGAATGACTTAGGAAAAAACAAAGCCATAAGAAGCCATCTTTGAACTCTCAAACAACAGTAGCAGATTCCTATCACAACTTAACAAGAATGAAGTTGCTGAAGTGCTGACCATCATGTCAACTTTGTCAGTGGATTTCATCCCAGTATCTGAATAATGGAGGCCAGCTATTTAACAGATTTTACAGCACATTTTACAGATTTTTTAGCCTGTGGACATCTTTACAGGTGATCCTGAAAACAGGATCCAGGTCGACCATAATGGCAGTTTTTCTAAATTAATAGATCCAAAGAACAGAAAGAATTATTTCACAATGAAAGCATAAGTCTTCAGGATCTCTGGATTCTACCCGTCATTTTTAAGAGCAGAAGCCTGTTTCACTGATTTCATTTTAATGAGACTCCATAATTACGAGCATTTTACAGGCTGGATTGAAGCCAGTGGTTCATACACATGGTTCTCCTAGTGAAAGTGCTTGGGTGGCCTGTGGCTGGGGAGAGGCACAGCAGCAACTGGGCAGTGATCAAAGATATGATTCTTAACCAGCTCATACCACCATCAGTCATGGACAGCTGCAATAAATTTAACTTTTTGCTGTTATTATTTTACAGGTAAAATAAATGTAGGCAATGAAGGAGAATTAGATTTATCATATTTTTTACTTTAAGTTGGATTTATAGGATTATCTAGAAAACACTCTATCCAGACTTCCAGAGACTTGTGAATCCATTTTAAACCATTTAAACTTAAATTCACCCACAATTTTTTGACTCCCCTCCCAGAGTATGACAATGGAGGTGACAACAGTGATTACTGTTGTGCACCAGGGACCAATGAATACCTGATGGTGCTTCTGGACAAAAACACTGAAATGGATAAAAAATGTGAAAACTTTCAGCTTTTACAGGGACCAATGAACACCTGATGGTGCTTCTGGACAAAAACACTGGAAGGGAAAAAAAGAAAGTGAAAACTTTCTGCTTTTATCACAAAATTGATACTCTGTTACCTGCTTCTTTACCAAAGCATTTGGTAAAAGCCTCTCCATAAAGCCAGTATTTCTCTCTATGTGCTATGGTATGGAAGAGAAATCCCTTAAGATTCTAAGAATCAAATGCAATGTGCATTAGAAGTTAGTTTTCCATGGAAGAAATAACTAGCTGCAGACAATTTCTCTGCGTTAGACCTTCAGAAATTTCTCTACCTCATCCTTCCCCTCATTTTTTTGGTGGGGAGATGTACAGTAGGGTGCACAGATGGAAATTTGATTCTCCCACATCATTCCCCTGCTTCCGTAACTGCGTTCCTGTGTGAATTCTCAGTAGCCACAGCTCAAAACTGTTCTCCAAACAAAGGAGTTGAAGCAGTTTCGATCCAAAAGCCTTTCTGGATATAGACCTGTCTTCAGGGATGCACTGGGTTTTCAGTGAATGACAGACCAGGACAGCAAATGGAAAATTCCACAGGTCTTAATCCCCATGAATAATGAAAGTTAGAATGATCTATGTTCATCCCCTCTCCTTTCCTGTTGCTGTCCTCTGAAAATGCTTTGCAGAAAGGCTGGGCTGAAGAGAGCACAACTTCACTTTACAAGACACAATGTGCTTTTAATCATTTCCTAATAAAATTTTGGCTTTAAGAAGCCCATTTTAATCCTCTCTTTTCATCACCATGTCCGCTAAGAAGGCTGAGAAGGGAAAAAGGAATTAATTCTAGATCAATCACCTTTCCTGGTGTTTATATTTTATCTTTCTGAGGAGGATTTGCTAAGATCCTGCTCTTTTTGATAAACATCAACTTTTGGAAAACTATTTTATTTTTTCCCCCATGCTCCCTCCATGATGCTTTTTAACAAAAATCTCTTTTTCTATCTACATGCAGATTCTCACAGATAAAGTTTTATTTGACCCCTGAAATTTCTGATTTTAGGTTTTGGGGTTTTTTTTAATCTATTCAGAAGTGTAATAGCAAAAATCTCATACTTGCAAATGCACAATTACAAGAATGATTGTGAGTTTTTGTCTTTTCTCAAGTTTTTAGACAGTGAGAGCATGCTGTAAGTACTTCTGGGCAGCCAGAGCTACCAGGAAAATAAACTCCTCAAACAGCTTCAAGTTTCGGCAAACTTTTTAGCATCTGCTTAATTTAATTCATGTGAATGAAACCACTGAAATCGAAAGAAGTGTTTATGAGAGCCACTTAATACTCTGTATGACTGGAACATAAGCTGCTGTTTTGCTCAAGAACAGAGCCTCACTCACCTTTTCAGCTGTTTAACTATTCCACTGCAGACCACAAATATTTTGGGGAGATCAAGAGGTTCTAGGCACATCCTATTAATTTTTCACTACCACCCCCTGTAATTCCAGAATTTTTTTGACACCTAATAATCAAAAAGCTCCCTAACAAATTATAGGCAACCACCTACTGCTCCAATCCCTCAAGCCATTTCCACTTTTGCAGCAGCAGGCTCTTCAATCATCATGCTAAGAGCAATGTTAATTTTCACATCTCTTATTTAAAACAAAGATTCTTAAGAGAAAAATAAAATTCAGGAAATTATTAATATGAATGTACATTACTACAAGGCTATTATATGGACTAACATACAGCTATTAATAACTACATCATAATTTGATTATGCTAGGAAAACTAAACAGAAAAAGGGCACTTAGGTTGACTGTTGCAGCACTATGATAAAAGG